CACTTCTAGGAAGGTACAGTTGAAGATACAATAACTTAGTACCCAGATCATACCCTCCTTCCTAAACTTGGTGTACATTTGTTAGGCCCTCCATCTGTTCACATCCCAACTTCATTCCCATCCATCTCACAGCTTCTTTATCCAGCAGCAATTATAGACGACTAACATTTTTCGAATTAGGCAGTGGTGGTTGAATGGTGGAATTCTTGTCTTCCATGCTGGAAACCAGGTTTTATTCCCAACCAATGCACTTCATGTGCAGCCACTGCTCATCTGTCAGTGGAGGCTTGTGGGTTGCTATGATACTGGACACATTTCAGCAGAGCTTTCAGACTAAGACAGAGTAGGAAGAAAGGCCTGGTGATCTACTTCAAAAATCAACCAATGAAAACCCTAAGAATCATAACGGTCTGAGCTGCAGATGATCATGGGGATGGTGCAGCATTTCATTCTACTGTACATGGGGGCAGCTAACAACAAGTTGCTCCATAAAAGCCATGTTCATCTATTTGCCTTGAATGCATATACAGCTCCTCATGCTTAAAATTCCCTCATTCCTTATCTTCGTGGAAATTTCTTACTTATTCTCCAAGATCCAAATTGGCTATTATTTATGTCATGAAACCTTTACTTGAGCATCTACCCACTTTCCACCTAAACAAATTAATCATTCCCTCCATACATTGCAGTGCCAATATCTACATAATTTCATTGTGGTACTAATCCCCTGCATCATCTTTTTTTCATAAATCTGTTTCCCCCATTATACCAGGCTTTAGTGCATTTGTTTGTTTGTTTTCCATTTTGAATTCCCAGTACACAGTACAGCATGTGCTCATTTAATGTAATTTAAATTAATTAGCAGTGTTAAGTCAGTGCCTACAAAGAATAAGATAATCTATAGGGGGAAAAAAGAGGCTTGAGGCAAAACCCTAGACTTCTGTACCTTAAAAATCTCACCGCCAATTGTAAGAGAGAGTGTTAAAAAATCAACAACAGTACAATGTAGGTATGACAAACAGAAATACATCATAATTAACTATGCAAAAAAAGTTGGTATTGATGGTGGAAATTAAGGAAGACTTCACTGGATAGGCAAGAGTTAAATCTGATCTTGAAGAAAGGGGAGATTTTAGACAAGAAGATAGGATAAAGCGAATAATTCTAGGCAGAGAAAAAAGGATTAGAAGGTGGGTCCTAGGAATAGAAAGAAAGGGGAAAAATAAGAGATATTAGAAATAGAAACTAATAACTTGCTTATTGCTTATATGAGATTAATAATAGGAAAAAAAAAAAACAAATCTAAGGTGCACCTCTGGGAAAATGATAGTACCACTGACCAAAATAATAGTAATAATTCAGAGTATGTAGCTAGTCACTAGTTTTGAAAAATTAATTATATCCTCGGGAGAGGATTCCTCTAGGACACTGCACGTGGGAGCCTCAGCTCTTAATGAGAACCTGGCATGGCTTGACTCAGGAAGAGGCAGCGTGCCAGGGCTGACTCGCCACTAGCGTTGAACCCCATGGAGTTAGGGAATTAGGGCTTACATACTGCTCACAACCAGTTAAGCTAAGGAGAGAGAGGGGTTTTGGTAACTATCAAGGCCAACTCAATTATCTGTAATTTCCTTCTGAAATCATTTATATGTGTAACTGTAAAATCAGCATCAATGGACCATCTGTAAAACTTTGAATATTTTACAGATTCTAAGAAATTATAATGATTTGATACAAATTACAAGGTAAGTATCTTAATAGGGGTATAATCCAAGTTTTCTGGTTTGTGAATAGTATTTCTGTGGCTCAGTCATGGTGGTAGACAGATAATTGACTAGGAGTAGGAAAGCTGGTATTTAGCTGGGTGACCAGATGAAGTTGTGTGCTCTTTTTGAGTATCATTTCTCAAGTGGACATAACAATGCTGAACTTCCTCCCATATGTTCCAATAAAACAAAATGCTGGGAAGTGCTTTGAAGCCAGTAAAGTACCGTAAGGCAAAATACAGCAATGCCTTTGGATAAAAAAATTATTTTTGTGGCAAAAACCCCTTGTTTAGTCCAAGTATTAGATCTAGAGTCTGAAGCCCTGGATTCTAGCCCTAAGCTGGTGTGTGTATTTAACTGATTTTCATTGAAGATGACTATTTGTCAGATGGCATGCCAAATCCTGGAGAAAAAGGTGCAGCATAGTTCCTGCCATGATAAATGTTACAGCTTAGCGGATAAGACAGATGTTAACACATATAAACACACACAAAATGATGAAATTTAGATTTCAATGCGTGCTGTCATGAGTAGAATCTGGACACTGAGTTTGTAATAACAGAATTTAGCCAAGTCTGGGAACACCGAAAAGCTTTCTCTCGGGAAGCAGCACTTGAACTAGGAATGAAGCATAATTGGGAGGCTGAGTAGCATGGCATTTAAATGCCGAGCCCTTATTTTCTTCTCTGTAAAGCCAGACAATTTTCAAAGTTTTGGCCATTCTGAAGTCTTGGTTTCTAACCATTTTAATGCTTCTAGATCAGGCACAGACAACCCCTTGACCTCCTCCAAGACTCACTTTAAGGTAGGAAAGAATAAGATGCATGTTGGCCAATTTTGTCGTTAAAAAGTTGTTTTTTTAAATCTTAAATTTATCACTACATCTACAGTCATGACTTATCCAATCAACCAAACAGCCAGTGACACATGGTAGACCCTAGTTAGTATGTAGCTACTTGGTTTGAAGGCAATCTACTTAGTATACTCAGGTAAAAGCTGGATGTGTATAGATAGATGCCTCTTTCTGGTATTGCCAATCAACATGGGTCTAAGTACTCACAAAAAGTTTGTGCCCCTGAACAGCTCTGCAAAGGGAGAACAGACTTAGATTTTTTGGTTATCACAATTTCTAGGGTCAAAACTGATCATCATTTTTGGTGAACAAATTTAAATTAAGTGTCTGGATAGAAAAAGTGAGTTGAAACCACACAAGAACTAGAAAAGTGATTATTGACCTAACACATTAGCTTACTTTTCGCTGTTCTGAGCGTGTATGCGTGGGAGGTGGGGTGCAAATGGGAAGGACAGGTTCTTTTAGACCTTCCCATATAGATAGCAAAGGAAACTTGTATCTTGTTGTTAATGTTGATACACACACACCCATATACACATATTTTAAAAGAAGAGTATCCTAATAATTTAGAAATTATGTTTTCAATGAGGTCATGAAGAAGTGAATGTTACAGACTGCCAAGAAGAAAATAGACTAGGATATTGGAGTATTTTATTCTACTACTAGTTTATTGAGTCCCTGGGTGGTGCAAACAGTTAAGTGCTTAACTACTTGCCAAGGTTGGTGATTCAAATCCACCCAGAAGTGCCTCTTATGCTTCTAAAAGGTCACAGCCTTGAAAACCCTACGGAGCAGTTCTACTCTACACATGAGGTCGCCAGGAGTTGATAATAACTCAATGGCAACTAACAACAACTAGTTTGTTAGGAGTGTTTTTTAAATCATAAAGCAGTGGTAAATTTTATCATTTTCTTAATCTAATGGAGATAAAATTTATCATTTTTTAATCTAATGGAAACAGCATATAATTTTTCTCTTTAATTGGTTTTAACATGGGGGAACTAACTTTATGAATGTTCTATTGTTAATCTTGCCTTGCATTAAATTCAAATAATTATGTTTTTTTTTAATACATTGCTGAAGTTAATTTGCTCTTTTTTCTTTTTAAGTGTTTTGGAAACTTATAAGTACTATTTGCTAGCAATTGTCCTTTCTTGTACTGTTCTTGTCAGGTTTTTGTAACAAGGCTATATCAGCCTCATGGGAAGAGTTGAGTGTGTTTCTCTTTGTTATAATTAGGCAAAACATGCAGATGTTTAAAATGTTGTACATGTACCAGGGAATAACAGTATATACAGCTAAGAAAGTCTAAGAAGGAAAAAGTCAGGAAACCTGGGGGAAAAACGAGCCCTAAAGTTTTTCCATGTGCCTGTCATGCACATAACTGCTGTAACAAGTATTTAAGAATAGTACACCTGGGATATAGCAAGTGCTAAATAAATGGGGGGAAAAAAAGAATAGTATAAATTTGTCAGTAGAAAACCCTACAAGGTCACATAGAAAGAAAATATTCTCCCTTATTGATACTAATCTGAATGTACTATAAACCTGTTGTCATCATGTCAATTCTGACTCACAGCGACCCTATAGGACAGAGTACAACTTCCCCTTAGGGTTTCCAAGGAGCGGCTGGTGGATTCAAACTGCCAATCTTTTGGTTTGCAGCCGTAGCTCTTAACCACTGTGCCACCAGGGCTCCTGTGAATGTACTATAGATCATGTAAACAAAATGAGTGTTTTCCCTGGGTAGAAAATTGGGACAATTACATTAAAAATTTAACTAGCCATAAATGTGTATAATATGAAGCACAGTTCTAATGATCAGTTTATCCTTAAATTATGATGCCCAGAGACAGAAAAAGCAGGAGCATTTTAAAAATTTGAAAAATCCTCCTATAAATTAAATTGGCAATGTTTTTCTATGACCAAGTAAAGTCTATAATAGTTGACCCAGAAAAAAGTGTAAATTTTTCCTCAAAATTTTTACTGAAAAGATGAAAATAATTAACCACACAAAACCAGAAATGACATCGTTTTCTAAAACAGCAAAAAACTGGAAGATAGGGAATTAGAGATTTTACAGTCATAAAAAAGTTATAATTATAGAAGTTTGTCGTAATATGAAAACACCTCTCATAAAGAAAAGTACATTGAATGCATTATATACTACGATCTCCGTGGTTTATAAAGTCCATTAACGCATGGACAAGGATTGGCAATTAGTACAGGAAGAATATTAAGAATTCATTCAAAGGATTATTTTTAATATTTGTCACTGTTGTTATAATATTGTTCTGAAAATAAAATTTAATAACAAACTGCTTCGCTTCTATGAGAATTTTTACAAATCTCTTTCTTTTCTGTTGTCATCACAGAGAGCCATGGGGAGATGGAATGAGACAGAATTCACAGATTTCACCCTCCTAGGCTTCTTCCCAGAGTTTAGACACATCACAGCCATGGTCTCCATCATCCTCCTAATCTTCACGGCCTCCTTCACTGGCAACACTCTTCTGATCCTCCTCATCTGGTTTGATTCCGGGATCCACACTCCCATGTATGTACTGCTTAGTCAGCTCTCCTTAATGGATTTGACTTTGACCTGTAGAATTGTCCCCAAGATGGCGGCCAACTTTTTCTCTGGATGTCAGAGCATCTCATTCCTGGCCTGTGGGACCCAGATTTTCTTCTCCTTGACTGTGGCCATTGCTGAATGCATCCTCATAACTCTCATGTGCTTTGATCGCTATGTAGCCATCTGTAATCCCCTGAGGTACTCGGTCATCATCAGTTCTCGAGTTTGTTTGCAGATGGTTGCCATGTCTTGGGCTGGAGGGGCACTTACTTCCCTGGGCCACACTGTGTTCACCTTGCATTTCCACATCTGCAGCCCCAGAAAGATCCCCCACTTTTTCTGTGAAGTCATGGCTGTCCTTACGATTGTCTGTGAGGACATCTCAGCCTATGAGAAGGCAGTGGTGGTGACAAGTGTCCTAGTTCTGCTGCTGCCCTTATCACTCATCTTGTTGTCTTATGCTCTCATCTTCCTTGCTGTCCTCCGAATGAACTTCCCAGAAGGCAGGGACAAGGCTCTGGCCACCTGCTCCTCTCACCTCTGTGTGGTGGGTCTCTATTTTGATCCAGGTATGTGCATTTACATGAGACCCGGTGCTGCCAAGACTCCAAAGCTGAATCAGGGTCTCCTTCTGTTTGGTACAGTTCTTACCCCTCTCCTGAACCCCCTTGTCTACAGCCTCAGGAACAAGGAAGTTCTAAGTGCACTGAAAAAGTTGATAGACTGGTGTCAGTCCTCCAGGTAGAGGGTAGAAATACCATCTGCTACAGACAATATGGAGACGCACCAGCAGAGGGACAAGCTGTCAACTAATAAACAACATCTGTGAGGGCCTAGAAAAGTCAACTAATCTTACCTACATTTTTTTCTTCATCTGTAGAAAAATGTTTAAACCTATTTTTTCTTTCCGTTCTGGAATTTTAAACTAATTGTTTTAGAAGCCACACTGTTGAAAGACAGGGACTATATCTATCGATCCTCTCTACCATTCTTACTTAATGGTCATGGATACTTTAATATGTAACAAGCTTCACATTGGTTCTATGAGAGAAGGACAGACTTTGTCTGCACCCCTAACATTGATAACATTACCTAGCACAAAGAAAGTACCTCAGAAGGATCCATTGGTTAAATGAAAAGGAATAATGATAGATTGTTGAGAATCAAGTGAGTTTGCAGTGTTGTTTTGTTCTACATAAGAGGATGTTAATTCCTCTTAATCCTATAAAAGTGCAAACTCCAGTCTGTGTCAGTGTTTCCAAAGAGTGAGTCTCTGATCACTTGAATTAGAATCACTTGTAAGTTTTGCTAAACATATAGTTCTGTGCCCATCCTGGATCTACAGAATCAGAATCCACGGACGAGGGGCTCAGGAATCTGTCTGACAGACATTCCAATGATTCTCAGGTGTACCAAACATGGGAGCCCCTGATCTGTTTATTGACTTAGTTACTTCTCTAGATCAGCCTTAAAAAATAATTTACCACTCTTAAAGTTTCTTTATTTCTTTATAATGTAGGATGGGTTAAGGTAGTTAGCAAAAACTAATGATATTACTTTCAGAAATAGTAGGGAATAAAGTTTTATTTATGTTTGGAATAAAGTCCCTGGGTGGCACAAACGGTTAAGCATTTAGCTACTAATTGAAAGGTTGGTGGTTCAAACATCTTCCAGGAGTGCCTTGGAAGAAAGTCCTGGTGATCTGCTTCCAAACAGTCACAGCCATGAAAACCCTAATGAGCACCTGGGGTCACTATGAGTTGGAATCAATATTCTATAATTGAGAAGTTTTAAGCACACAGAAATGAGTAAATAGAATAGTAAAAAAAAAAAAAGGGGACTAAATGATAATAATAAAAGTATGAATCACTTAAAATATTTACAACATAAAATAAAATTTTAGGCAGGATACATTATAGTTGTTTCCAAAATGTTGCTACGTGTACAAAAATTTAATATATTCTATATAGATACATAGAACAGTAGGAACTAATTAAATGTGCTTTTTAATGACTGAATGAATAACAGAAATAGAAGCCAGTTTTTCAGTGAATAGGAAACACTCAAAAGGGCCACTAACATCTTCACCCTCACTGTCTCAAAAGCTGTCAACTGGACATTTTATTATGCAGACACAAATGCTTAAGTTTTGGAAAACATGATGATCTTGATGTCAAGATTCAAGCATGATAGCAGTATTAAAACTAGCCCCTCCAGAATTTCTAGAATAATGACTTATGTTTGGGGGAATCTAGTTTAAGGAGCGACCCTTGAAACTTCTCTTAAAACTTTGCCAGCATACTACTTTAATGAAGAATGAAAATTATCTTTCAGCCATCTCAAATAATGTGGAGTGTGGGAAGAGGTATTAATGTATACCATGGGACTTTCACCACCCACACTTGGTGGCGTCACAATATTCTGGCTCACTAAGGAGGAATTACAGATAAGACTTTGTTTAGAAGATGACACTAGAAAAAAGGAAAGAATAATTAATGAGGAAAGATAGTTCTAGCTGAAGGGTTTCAGTTTAAACAATTTGTTCATAAGCATGTTACTTAAGTTAGACAGTTTTAATAAAGAATTCTATTTTTATATGAAAGTCATAGCAATGAACATTTTAATATTGTGAAGATCTCTGCAAAGTGTTATTAAGATGGCTGTAACGGAAGACGCCTGTCTTATACTTCAGATCATGTACTTGTGGAGGAGTATCTTTTCATAAGATGAGTTATGAAAAGTGAGTTGAGGAGGGACCATTAAATTTTTAAAAAGTGAATACATAATCATTCAAGAGAAACATGATTCCATCCTAATAGAATCGTGGTTCTTTGGCTTTGTTTCATTCTTTTAATTTTAATTATATTTATCTACTTTAACAATTGTACTGC